AAAGACACTCACCTTTACAGCTCTGGATATCCTGGGGATGACAGTCAGGTTCTGCATCAACCATCAAGCAGCCCACAGCCTCTCTCGTATCCCACCTGGTCCCCATGCCACATATGTCCCTTCTTCCGGGGGGCAGTGCTGCCCCCTAAAAAAAAAAAAAAAAAAGCCGCCCTAGGCAAATGCCTTGTTTGCCTTTTGGTAAATACACCCCTGCTGCCCACCATACATGACAGGGGGAATCATTTTTTCCAAGGCATGTGTACAACTGCATCTGGCTGCCTTGGCAGCTTAAGGATAGTAAAAAACACAGCTCAACCATCTGTTTTTACTGCCCCCTAACCTCAAGTGTAAACGAGCTCAAAGGACATGCAATCCAGCGCAGAGCATTTTTGAAAAGTAGCTTTTACTGTGATCTAGTGCAATTTCAGCCCATTCAAATGAATAGACTGAAAAATAGCTCCTGTGCATTTCCCAGGTTCACACTAATGCAGTGCGGAATTCGCAGCGTTTTCAGTGCGAATTCTGCACCGCATCAGAATCGCACCCTGTTCATGCAAACCGCTGCGGGTGTGTATGTTAAGCGAACACCCCCCCAAAAGTGGCACGCAAAACGTGGTGAGATGTGCAGAATCAGATCGCATAGGTGTGAATACCTATGCGATCTGATTCTAGTGCAGACCAAAAAAAAGGGTCCTGCACATTTTTGGTGCGGCTGTGGTGCGAATAGAGCCATACAAAATGTATGGCTCCAATCGCATGTGATTCACACAGGAATGCAGTTTGGTTCCTGTGTGAATCACATGCGATATACCGCACCACATATATGTCAACCCCACATATATGTCAAGTCATAATATACTAGTATGCACTGCATACTAGTATATTATTATAAACTTGCCTACAAAAAAAAATAGAGCCCTCCAGTGCTGCATGGTCATGTCTCTCCCAGGTCCATGGAAGCTTTCTTCTTCTCCCGGTCTTCCTTCCGTGTTTTGTATCTTCAGCATTTGAATGGCCAACCCAAGGTGGCGTCAGTTCAGCACATGTGCATGGAAGTCACATCACTGTGGCACAGAGAGCGGATCATAAATGTGAGCCATGCATGTGCGGATCAGATTACAATAACCATTGATAGGCAGACCGCTGACAGACCTCTAGGGTCCCTTCTGTTATAAAAACCCTGCCCAGCAGTGGTTTTTGGGATTCTGGACTTTCCTACCACTTTAAATTGCATCTTAATTCAAGTACAAAAAATTATAGTATTGCAGTTTACCAGTCCTTAGATTTGGCGGGTGTTTTTTTATTTTTCCCCATTTTGTAGCATTAATTTAACCTGCTAATGCTGCCATTAATGCAGTTCCGGTCTTACGGCGACAGCCATACTGAGCAGCGCTGTCACCCTAGGACAAGGTGTGTGTGTTAGGATTATATAACACCTCCCGCTCTGCTCCATAGCAGGAGGGGTGGATCAAAGTCCACAAAGTATGCTGAGTAGCCCAGAGGAGGAAGGTATTGGCTCACAAGATGAACAGCTTTTATTTATTTTTTTTCCTCTTTTTGCACTTGTCCAGCAAATATAAAACAAACACGTTCAATGGTCTAGTTATAAGACCAAAAGGGAGTCAATAAAATAAATGTTTTGTAAGACTTTGCATACACTTTCCAAAGAATCATTTTAGTCTAGGTTCACACCTATGCATTTTTATTTTTCTTGTTGGGCAGATTTCAAAATGCAAAAAGGCAAAAAAAAAACGCAATACATGCTTTTCTGCAGTGTTTCCATTGAAGTGTATAGAACCAAAAACGCAACTTTTTGTGTTTAAAAACGTCCTTGACCCATTCCAAAAAATGCACCGGGTGAAAAACACGGAGATGTGAACCTGTCCCATAGGAAATCATGTTAAAAAAATGGACTGTACTGCGTTTCTGTAAAACACTGCAGAAAACGCTTAGGTGTGAACCTAGGGTTAGGGAAGGTTCACATCAGAACACCCACGTTTTGTGCACTTTTCCCGCACCGCGTTTAAAAAGCACTGCGGTTGTGATCTGCGACAGGTATCAAGGTTATGGACACCCCAAACCCAGGTTGCACATGCAGTGCATTTGCCTGCACAGGATCACAGACTACAGAAGTACTATGCGATCAGGTTGTAGTAAGTTTCCGAAAGTAGTGCATGTACTACTTCTGGTGCAGTGCGATTTAATTTTGAATGGGCTCAAATGACACCTCACTGAACCACACGTGAATCGCACAGGAGTGTGCCGCACATTCCTGTGCGATTCCAGGCGGGAACTGGCCATTCTAAAAAGGAGGTCGAAATTCCCGGCGAGAACTGGCCATTCTAAAAAGGAGGTCGAAATTCCCGGCGAGAACTGGCCATTCTAAAAAGGAGGTCGAAATTCCCGGCGAGAACTGGCCATTCTAAAAAGGAGGTCGAAATTCCCGGCGAGAACTGGCCATTCTAAAAAGGAGGTCGAAATTCCCGGCGAGAACTGGCCATTCTAAAAAGGAGGTCGAAATTCCCGGCGAGAACTGGCCATTCTAAAAAGGAGGTCGAAATTCCCGGCGAGAACTGGCCATTCTAAAAAGGAGGTCGAAATTCCCGGCGAGAACTGGCCATTCTAAAAAGGAGGTCGAAATTCCCGGCGGGAACTGGCCATGGCCATTCTAAAAAGGAGGTCGAAATTCCCGGCGAGAACTGGCCATTCTAAAAAAGGAGGTCGAAATTCCCGGCGAGAACTGGCCATTCTAAAAAGGAGGTCGAAATTCCCGGCGAGAACTGGCCATTCTAAAAAGGAGGTCGAAATTCCCGGCGAGAACTGGCCATTCTAAAAAGGAGGTCGAAATTCCCGGCGAGAACTGGCCATTCTAAAAAAAGGAGGTCGAAATTCCCGGCGAGAGAACTGGCCATTCTAAAAAAGGAGGTCGAAATTCCCGGCGAGAACTGGCCATTCTAAAAAGGAGGTCGAAATTCCCGGCGAGAACTGGCCATTCTAAAAAGGAGGTCGAAATTCCCGGCGAGAACTGGCCATTCTAAAAAGGAGGTCGAAATTCCCGGCGAGAACTGGCCATTCTAACGGCCATTCAACAAAAAAGGAAAAAAGGAGGTCGAAATTCCCGGCGAGAACTGGCCATTCTAAAAAAGGAGGTCGAAATTCCCGGCGAGAACTGGCCATTCTAAAAAGGAGGTCGAAATTCCCGGCGAGAACTGGCCATTCTAAAAAGGAGGTCGAAATTCCCGGTGAGAACTGGCCATTCTAAAAAGGAGGCTGAAAGTCCATTACACGTTATTTGGTTTTTCGGTACGTCTCCTGTACATGGGTAGATGTGCCGCTACTGTGCGTGTGATCAATTTATACTGCAGAATGTGTTGTAGATGCAGGATCACTGATGTATACACATGCAAATGTTTTTCTATCATCATTAGCTGCACTGTGCAGAACCTGTTTTTATACCTGTGTACAGGAAGGGAGGGCATGAACAGCCGATGCACATCAATGGTTTCACTTTTGTGCGACGTGAAAAGCCAGAAACACTGCAGGTTCACATACCATCGACTGTTTTGGATCTACTGCAGTGTGCATATGCAAGAACCAGAAACTGCCTGCTCCATTTCCGGTTCAATTTTTTAAAAATCAAATGATTTTCCAAGCACACCACATCCGGCCTGACTTCACCTAGCTATTCTGTCCCATCCTGGCCTAAGCCATCGGCATGCAGAGATAAGACACCCACAACACGTCACCACTTGCAACATCCCATACTGCCATCGGACTAAAAAGCCTAGTACACACAATGAAAAATCTTACGAACATACAACGATCGCACGATAATCTGTAATCTGATTGTTAGTACACCCACTTTCGTCTGAAAATATTTGAAGGGACAAGCACAGAAATGTTTCTTGTACGATACCAGATCTTACGATTTTTGTTTAAATCAGTAGTTTGTTCCAAAATAAAATACAAATACTTTACAAATCACTTTTGAATATTTATTTTGTCCTACAAGAATTTTCGTAACCTCTTCACTTTCAATAGGAGACCAAAAAAAACCAAAACAAAAAAAAAAAAAACGGACAATCGTTCTGCCGATATTCTGATCGTGTGTACGGGGCTTAAAAGGTGACAGATTGAATTATGGCCTTTTCCTGCTAAAATCAGCTAACATTTGTGGCCCTGTCTGTGCTACCCAACTCAAAAGTTTTTTTAAAATCAACTTTTGTTGGAGTCAGCTAGAAAATGGTCAGCCATACAGCACCTGCGTGCAAACCAAATGCAGGTAATATATAGGTATTCTGCCAGCCACAGATGCAGTTTACCAGAATACAATAGCTGGCTCTGCAGATCTGTCCATCCACCCGGATTAGTGTGGATAAGGGAATCAAGTAGCCCATATACTGGTTTACCTTGTTTATGGGAAATATGTACTAAGAGTTAAGCCCTGTACAAACGATGAGAATATCCTCCCTGATTTTGTGTGGATGGGGGAATCAATCTTTTGAAAGGTATGTGTATAATGTATGCATAACAATAGACAAAACAGACACAACACCCTCCATCCAGGCGTGTTAATTGTTATAAATGACAAACTATTTCCTTGTTGCAATCGAAACGTCTAAATTATGTCATTCCCTGGTAATATCAACTTTACAGCTTCCATATAATCCACAGCAGCACAGTACAAGTGCATGCAACTCATTACATTGTTTCTCAATGGCAATAAAAAGAAAAATGTATGGAGTATTTGCAGTGAGCACATATTTGTGTGCAGTGTTTTCCTTTTTTTTTTTTTTCGTTTAAGGCACTTTTTACTTTTCTACATGCTCCATGCTTTAGATGTGCAGGTTAGCAGCTAGAGGGAGCTCTACATTTCACTGCAGTCACTCAGCTTTCCCCACTTACCCTTTTGGGTGGAGCTCCGCTTCAAGAGTTAATTTCCGCTTTAAGCCTTTGTACCCCGCTCCCCATTAAGGATTGGCACCTTTGGGGAGCGGGTACCCAAAATTGACAGGTACCTGCTCCCACTTCTGCTGCAATTGCCTAGTCCAGGGGTAGGCAACCTGAGAGCCACAGGACTACAAGTTCCATCATGCCCAGGGACGGACAACTCATGGGGCCCCCGGGCAATAGGGAATCATGGGGCCCTTGTTTCCTTGCCCAAACTGAAAAAAGCCTATGAAAAAGGTACCAGGGGCATCTCATGGGCCCGAGTTTCCAAATGGTCAGTCCGCCCCTGATCATGCCTCTGCAAGTCATAGCTGTAACTGTGAGCTTTGTAATCTTTGCAATGCCTCATGGGAAATGTAGTTCCACAACACATAGAGAGCCACAGGTTGCCTACCCCTGGCCTAGGCAATCGGAAGTTGTTCCCCCTCCCCGTAGTCTTCTGGGACACGTGACAGGTCCCAGAAGGCGACGAAGCCATTCACAAAGTGCAGTGCTTCGCACGCATGCTCACCCAGCTGTGAAGCCGCAAGCTGTCACAGCCGGGTGCCCACACGGCACCTGGGAGAGAAGACGGCCGGTGAAACCAGCGGTAGTGAGAACACCGCTGAACCGAGGAACAGGAAAGTGGCTGTATTTTGAAAGTCAGAAGCTACAGTTTTTGTAGCTGCTGACTTTTTTTTTCCCCAGGTGGAACTCCGCTTTAAGCTACCAGCCACGTAAAAAAGGCATTGTTTTCAGTAGTAGTAAAACACAACCATTGTTTTGCACTACAAAGCTGGAAGCCAAGCTTGCATATGCAACAAGCAAATATGACTGCCGCTATGTGCTTTGCAATGATAGACTATGCATAGATACAGGATATTTAAAAACAACAACACATTTTAATACAATTACAGATCAAGCTCACTTCTCGGAGAGGGAAATTGTCCATAGTGGTCTTCAAACCTTTTGGATCCCATGCATTCTATTGTGCAGCACCCACAATACAGAACTCACTGCCATCTATTGTCCGGAAAGCACCCCATCTAGAAGTTTTTTAAAGACAACTCAAGACGCAACTTTTCACCCACACGTTTCAGAAAACCTGATAAATTTTTAAAAGACTCAAGATGCAACGTTTCAGAAAACCTGACATTCTTCTCTTCAAAGATCCCAACACCAACCTGATAAGTGCCCTGAGAACCCTGGGAGCAAAGTGCTATAGAATTATTATTCGGAATTGTAGGTAGCAGTAGTATGCTAATCTTGTTTACATGTATATTGCAGATACATGTGAAATAAAATGTAATCAACATTGACTTTAAATATTTGCATTTTCATAATGTCATTTTTGTTCTCACCCGTAGCTATCTCCAGTGTGTTCGCTGTAACTTGGTTGGGTGTAGTACATCTTCTGCAAACCACCTCCTCCTCCTCCTCCAATGGTCATCTTGTGGTTGTTCATCATATCATACCTGCTGGTAAGATCCTGGCCAGATTCTGCTCTGGTCAGCCGGCCTAGGGTGTTGATCCGAGTGTGGGACCCGTTAATACTCATTTTGTTCAGAGATCAGCAACTAGCAAAGCATTTGCCTTAAGGAAAGAAAAAAGTTGCGTATGCGTCCGTAGTTAGACAGGTAGGTTTGCCCAACCCAAGGCCAGAATTCCCAGGTATGTCGAGAAACTGGAAACCAGAAGAGTGTGAAGCCAAAAGAATACTATTGTATATGCAGGATGGACAAAAACCAAGCAGAGAGCTTTGTCCTGTTTGCTGTGCAGCTCTTTGCCTCTGATCAGGGAGAGCCTGAAGCCAGAGACTGGGGGAGGAGTAGGAGGTGGCAGGTCTTATCCAGCACTCTCCTGTGAAAAGCCAGAGGCACACCTTTCTCTCTCTCTCTTTTCTTTTTCCCAGAAGTATTGTGATTGCTGGTGACGCCCTAAATATCTGTTGTCTCAGCCCTGCCTCCGGTATGACAGCTCCATTCACCTGAGCACAGCAAATTCTGCACAATGCATGCACAGTGCTCTCAAAACACACATTCAGACTTTTTTTTTTTGTAAATTAATTCAAAATCGCTCCGATTGTAAGCAAGATATTGGCATAGGGCAGTCTGCAATACTTTGCTTTAAAATAATTAATATAATCACTGTGTTTTCCTTTAAAATTTTAAATGCAGGATTATTTAAAAAGCTAAAAAAGGTGCAAATCGCAGAGTTGAACATAAAAAGTGTTGTTCCAGGTCAGTATACACATACATATCTTTTGATCTTATTATTTGATTATTCAGTATACACATGCCTGCTTCAAAAGGGGTGCCTGTCAAGCATGTCACTAACAACTAGTGCAAAAATACAGATAGGTGATGAACAGTTCCTTGCAATATCTATGCGTCTCATTCACACTGTGGTACTCAAGCGTACACCCATGTGACAGTCGTGTGCTGGCACAGGGATGCACAGCTGTTCCATGCATCAGCATTCATGTCAAATGGGATGCACAGCCAGCGCTCCCAATTTGATAGCCGTGTGGGTGCAGGTCCCCAAAAACAAAGTTTGCAGTCTGGTACCTCCACCCACATTGCTTTCAAACATTTTCACTTTTACGCTCAGAACAACAAACAGGACAAACAGAGAGGGTGGATCTCCCAAATGGGGGCACAGACAGCAATACATATCCAACAGGTGTTCTGATCCCCCAACTCTGTCCAAAAATGAAAAAGCAAAAAAGACACACACACAAAAAAGATGTGCCAGACCACAACAAATGCAAGCAGTGCATGTGCTACTTTACAAATCGCAGAGCAACTGGATCCCATTGGTACCATGCGATCCAGTGCAAGCAAATGCCCTGCATTTGTGACCTGTGTTTGAGGGGTTAACACCGATATCCACTACAGATGGTAGGAGCAGTGCGTTTTGAGCGCACTACGGGAAATGCACATGGAACACGGTTTTCCCACATCGCATTCTAGTGTAAACTGGTACTTGGTTATACTTTCATGCTGAACTCCAGGATAAACAATTCTTGTCCTAATACAAGGAGGAATGTGTATTCTTACTTGAATCTTGGGGTGCTTTGTATATTTATTCCAGATCTGTTCAGTAATCCATTGTGAAACAGCTTCCTCTAATAAAGACAAGTCACTGCATGTGGGGGCTCATAAATCTGGGGTTCGCCTATAGCATCCTGTCTGCCGTTACCTCTAGCAATGAATGAGCCAGAGTGTTGCGGAACTCAGCCAGCCATGCCGGGCTCATCTAAGAGTCTTTATGGTGCTCCCCAGGTGGATCCTAATAAAGACTGTACCTTGTATGTGCCTCTGAAGATATGTGAAATGTTCATCATGTTTTTCTGTCCTGCCTGCGGTTGCCCGGAGATGGCTCATCAGTCCAAAAATGTCCCTCTGTGCTTCCCAGGTGGCTACCAACAGAGACTATGTGACTTCATGGGACAGTGAAGTGTCCATCAAAAACATGCTTGCCGTCGCCCAGAGCAACCGGGATGGTTCATTGCTGCATATCAGTCTGTGTGCTTCTCAACAAGTGGCAATAACAAATGACTTTGCCCTAACAGTAATCTTCCTGTCTGCTGTGACTGATGGATTACAAATGCTTTACTGCCTTGTGTCAATTGAACTTAGTAACTTTAATGGTGACCTTGCACTTAGCGAGGGGTGTGCTTCGTGCCTCAAGGTACCAGGGGCATCTCATGGGGCCCCCTACTGACCCCGGGCCCTCGGGCAGTACCCGAGTTTCCAAATGGGCAGTTCACCCCTGCTGTCGCCCATGGTAACCGCTGCAGATAAGCATCGTTCCCAACACTCACATTACCAGCACTACCCAGCTATTCCATGATGGCTGGAAATCAATGTCTTGTGCCAGCCAGCAAACGGTCTACGACCTGCCAGCATGATACAGCCATCACCATCTCTGCAGTCCAGTATACACAGTTCAAGTTGGAGAATTGGGGGTTAAGCCAGTGGCAGGAAAGTCCCAGTAAGGCAGTCTGGCTGGTGCCAAGAGATCATGAGAAGGAGAAGGGGTGTGGCCACGCTCACCAGAACACCCAAGTTCACAACCAGATGCCTGACCTAAAAACTGCCCTCTACATCCACCACATGGAGAGTGAATGGAGAAAGATGGAGGACATCTTGTGTGTATACTCCAAAGTTTACCAAACTGACCTTACCCTGGTGGACATGCGAGTCCACCTTGAGCATCATGGCTGCTTAGCTCTAGGAATGCTCGAGGGCACATAGATGCTATGTCTAGTCTGCCCTGAATGCAGGAGGCTGAGCGTTCTGTTTGGAGCTTGAGTCAGGTGTGGACATTGTGCAGAACCTTTGAACAAACTACTGCCCAGCAAGCCAAACCCTGTAAATACAGTATGGATCTGCAATCGGGACTCTGCACGAAAAAGCCAGCAAGCCGGAGGATGTTCAGAGCAGCCTCTCTCAACCAGGGTGCCTTGAGGTTTCTTCAGGGGTGCCTTAGCAAAATATAAAAATATAAAAATTGCCCAAGAGTTGTTCACAAGTCAGCGGGTGGAACAAGCCTGCCTTTTAGTTACACTGGTTTTCATTGTGCACCATTACGACCTTCTAGCCACTGTGCATCCTGACAACCAATGGCATCAGTTGATATGGAGGATGTCAGCTGCCTGCACAGCATCCTAGTTTAACCCTCCCCTGCTCATCAGTGCGGGGGGGGGGGGGGGTCACATTAGCTCAGTGATGGAGAAAAAACTGTGGTTTTCTTACTTCATTCTTGCTGTGTCTTATAACCTAGACAGCCAGTCAGAGCTACAACTGTGCTGTTCTTATATGGTTATTCTTTTTGTTTTCTTTGTTTACTGTTCTGCAGGTCCCAGGACTGCTGTCTTCCCTGCGTTGAACAGAGAATCCATGTTGCTGATGAAGGGCCTCCTTCTAGGGGGAGGTTCTTCATGCTTATGCTAATGTTGGTTTATCCATACAGTTATGGTACTACATTCATTGTTCCTGCTGCTAGTTTTGTTAGCGTCAGGCAGGAAGTGTATATATTTGCACATGTACAAAGCCTATATGTTTATACTGTGTATTTGTACTATGTGTACATACTTTATCACCCTTCCAAGTTGTTGTACCCTTTTCCCCTCCCATTTTTTTCTGTATATAGGATGCCCTGCCCCTGGGCTCAGGAGCCTTTTTGTTCTCTTTTTGCCCCCCAGCCAATGAGGACATGGCTGTTTTTTAGTGGGGGTGAATGTAGCACCCTCCTAGTTAAGCTAGGGGGAGCTAGATCATAATGGTTGGACAGGAGCTGATAGCAACTCAGGTGTAATAGCCAGTGGGGTCAAATTGTGGTCAGTGCTGAGAGGGTCTGCAGGTTTCCCGCTGCTCTGAGGCTTTTGGAGGAGGACCTTGGAGACAATGGGTGAATCTGAGGAGTGGCTAGCTGCACTCTTGAGGGACCTCAGCCAATCCCCAACAGAAGGCTTGCAAAGGGGCTGGACTCCCTCAAAAGGGAAGAAGCCTGCTTAGTTGGAGGGAGTCGAGTGGAAGAAGAAGAGTATGGAGAGGAGGATGTGAGGCTGAGATGGAGGCTGCCAGGAGGCCTAGTGGGATGGGGTCTGCCTGCAAGCCTGGAGCTGGAAAACTCAGAACCCACTGGCCCCCTGAGAGAGGACCACCTGCATGGTAGGAAAGGAGCAGCCAACCCGCAAGCGGTACAGGAGAGGATCTGAGTGAGTACACTTGTACCCCCTGGGCGGATATGGGAAGGAGCACTGGTGGAAAACCAGATTATCCCCCTGTTAGTGACTCTTCAATCATTTAAAGAAACAGGAGCTAGATCCCCTGCTCAGGAAAAACCAGATTGCTGGGTGAAGAGGAGAATTTCATCTAGGGTGGTACATCAAGGATATGCTAGCAATCTCTCCAGAAGAGACGGTGTTGCAGAAGATATGCTTGTGAATAGTTCTAGTTCTAGGATGTTTGTCCTCAGTTGTCGGTTCCCTTGGGCATCCTATACCCCCCCCCCCCCCAATTCTAAATCCCCTCAAACTACAAAAACACCAATTCAAGGACCGATTTCTAACTTGGAATGCAAGCTTGTGTGGAGAATGCAGATTGCCTGGCTGTGCAGGACTATAGGGGGACCCAAATCTCTTAGAAACACCCAAGGGGGTAGTGCTACACGTTTTAGCCAATTATATATTGTAAGAAACTGTTGGTATGCCATCATATGTCCAAATTTCTGCACTAATGTGCAAATTGCAATTAAATTTGAAACAAATTAGCGGTTGTTGGTTACTTCTTTGAACATCTTTACTACTCTTTGCTAAGAGTCAATCAGGGCACAATGCGGTATGCTTCAATGCATACATTTTTATGTACATGCAGTAAACATACATCGGTGCAGAAACAATAAAAGATGCCATATTTTTCAAAAGGCAGCAGAGTGCAACACACAGAGAATTTGTATATGTGTAGTATACATACTGTATGCCTTTGGGGTGCAACAATGAATAGCAATGCATTGCAACACATATATACAGTGCCTTATGTGTTGCTGTAAAATGCGCTTTGTGGTATGAATGAGCCCTATGTAATTCTAGTGCATTATCAGAGTACAACAATATCCATTCTACAAAAGCGTACATGGCCTTAATTGCAACAGGCATGCAGAAGAATTAAAATATGGAGGACTTTAGTGTGACCAGTCTCTGTCAGAAAATCATAGAATAGAAGGTCTGAACAAAACAAAAAAAAAAATCTCCCATAGTACAACAAGGGCTGCTTAAAGTGTTACTAAACCCAGGACCCTGCATTCACTATATCCAGTCTCTAACAGTACATAGAACATGGAAATGCAATTATCTTAGTAAATATAAACTGCTAAATACCTTTTATCATCAGCAGTTAATGCAGTCTTGTGACTTCTATCAGTGTCCAGCAGAGCACTGGTTAAAGCTTGGGAGGAGGAGTTTTCATTCTCCCCTGATTGTCCTAGGAGGCTGGGCTGCATTACTCCTGACCCTCTGTCTGGCCCTGTGCTGATCACATGCACTCTCCCAAGAAAAAAAAAACAAACACTAACAATACACACCAAACTGAGCATGTGCAGATTTCCCCCAAGGCTCTGTTGTATCAGAAGATGGACTGGGGACAATAGAAGGGGAGGATCAGAGAAGACAGGATCAAACATCGTTTTTACACAATGTGGAGAATTAACCCCTTAGGTTCCAGGGTTTTTTTTTCCTCAAAGCTTAAAGTGTTACTAAGCCCGTGACCTTGCATTCACAATATCCGGTCTCCCACAGTACAAAGAACCAGGAGATGCAATTATTTTAGTAAATATTAACTGCTAAATACCTTTTTTCATCAGCAGTTGGAGCAGTCTTGTGACTTCTATCAGTGTCCAGCAGTGCGCTGGTTAAAGCTTGTAGGAGGAGTTTTCATTCTCCGCTGATTGTCCTATGACAATCTGCATGACCCCTGACCCTCTGTCTGAACAGCACTGACTGGCCCTGTGCTGAGCACAGGCACTCTCCCAAGAAAAATAAATTTAAGAAACACTCTCTAGCAATACACACCAAACTGAGCATGGGCAGCTTACCCCCAAGGCTCTGTTCTATCAGCAGTTGGATTGGGGACAGTAGAAGGGGAGGATCAGAGAAGACAGGCTCCAAAGACATGCTGGTAGGTAAATTGGCTCCTGTCTAAATTGGCCCTAGTATGTGAGTTAGGGACTTTAGACTGCACGCCCTTTGAGGGTTAGGGACTGAGGTGAATGTACAATATATATGTAAAGTGCTGCGTAAATTGACAGCATATATACGTATCTGAAATAAACACCCTTTTTACACAATGCAGAGGAATAACCTCTTAGATTCCACAGTGAGTATAACCAGCAGCTTTACTGCATATACAGACTGATTTTACTGTTGTGGGTTTAGTATCACCAAGTTTTAATTTGGTAAGAAGGTTTCACAGTGCTTATCTTCTGGCTCATTAAAAGCACAGGTGGTTGGAGAAGCAGTTCTAGCTCTTGCAATAGGAGTATTTTTTTTCTACCAGACCACACTGGTGTCTCCTTTGAAAAGGAAACTGCGGGAGATCGCTTTTTACATAGTTACAAAGTTAGTCTGGCTGAAAAAAGACAAATGCCCATCTAGTTCAACCAAGAAAAAAAAAAGTTAATCCTATACCTACAGTAGATCCAGAAGGAGGCAAAAAAAAACACAGCATAAAAAGAAAGATCCAATTTGCTCCTGCAGGTGAAAAAATTCCTTCCTGATCCCCGAGAGGCAATCGGATATTCCATGGATCAACTTTACCTATAAATGTTAGTATCCAGTTATATTCTGTGTATCCAAGAAACAATCCAGGCCTTTGTTAAAGCAATCCACTGAGCTGCCCAGAACCAATATTTGAGGGAGTCTATTCCACATTCTCACAGCTCGTACTGTGAAGAAACCTTTCGGTATTTGGAGATTAAATCTCTTTTCCTCCAGACGTAAAGAGTGCCCCCTTGTCCTCTCTCATGACCTCAGGGTGAATAACTCTACACCGAGTTCACTATATGAACCACTGATGTATATATACATGTTGATCATATCCCCCCCTTAATCTCCTCTTCTCAAGAGAATGAATTCAGTTCCTCTAATCTTTCCTCATAGCTGATCTCCTCCATGCCTCTTATCAGTTTGGTTGCCCTTCTCTGCACTTTCTCCAGTTCCCCAATGTTCTTTTTGTGAATTGGTGCCCAAAACTGAACTGCATATTCCAGATGAGGTGTTACTAATGATTTGTACCGGGGTAATATGATATATCTCTCTCTGGAG